AAAATATTTTTCTATATGTAAACTAAAAATTATCATATGATAATGTCAAAATTTGCTTGATACCAAAATAACCAAGTTCTTCTCATGCATTAGTATGTTGGCATTATTGGTATTTTGGTTGTTACAAAATATTTCCTTGTTTGTCCTTATTGTAAAAGTTTTTTTTTTTGTTTTTTTTGGGGAAAGATGCATTTTCGGTTCATACAGAAAGAGAGACATGGTATTTTTGGGTGTTTTTATTAATTTTTTTTTTTGGGGGGTGGGGGGTGGGAGAGAGGCAGCCAAATTGTGGGCATAGGTGTGGTTATATGTATGGTGGTGTGTATACATGTGGTGGGACTAGGTGCTCTTGGGTTAATTGCTTGCTATTTATTTGCATCGTATCCATAACATACACTGTGTACTTGTGCATGCTTTAGCTATTGGGGATTGGGTTACGTCCGTCACCTTCACTTATTCATTTACCACCGTCACCTCTTGTCATGCAAATACCGAACAATTGACTTTCCTGAGATGCCTTGGAGCCCTGGAGGTCTCAGGCATTATGTCTCCATTCTCTTGATTCCTTGGAAGTCCCGCTGCCACCGTTGGGAGAAGGAGGGGGGGTGGGGGCATATACTAATATTATCTGGCAATATTCAAAATACCAACTTTCATACTTTGAGTCGGAGCAAACTCCATGGTTTAGTAGGCATGCATGTTCACCAGAAAAGATTGACACTTTTGACAAGGATCATATATTCTTACATTGATGCATAGCTGGCTTGCTGAGCGGAGCTGGCTTGCTGAGTGGAGCTAGAACACCTTAGTGAGTAGCAGCTACAAAATGTAAGCTTAAACGCAAGGAACTGTGCTGGAAATAGTTTGTCCGTCAAGGTGGTTTCTTTGGTTAAAATGAGCTCAAACACAAGGAACTATGGTGGAAATAATTTGTCCGTCAGGGTTGTTCCTTTGGTTAGAAATGGAGACTTGGATGTGGAGTGCTGTTTGAAAGGAGAAGCTGCACCGTATTGGTTGAGTCTTTAAGGATGTATTGTCATAAACTTGTTTGGGCTAGTAGTGTTGTTAGGGGTTCTTTGTGAGGTCTTTGTTAAGTAGGGTAGATTAGACACACTTTTGTTTGACTAGGTTGAAGAATATTGCACTGTAGTTGGAAGAGGGAGTTGCTTTTGGAATTTGTGCGTTTCATGCCATCCTATGGAGATGAAATCGAACTATTAAACTGTGCTGCTGGTCTTTTTATTTTATTTCTCCAAGAAGTATGTCTTTTGCGGGAGGGAAGAATTTCTGGACCATTTCTTGTTGCATGGAATAGGCTCTAAGCCTCGTCCAAGTCAAATGGTTATTATCTTATTCATTTCATAAAATGGTCTGTGAATAGGATTTTTATTTAATGATGTTGGACAAAAAGGGTCTTCAATGTTCTTGGTGCTTGTTTATGCTAGCAGCTACTGGGATATCCTGAAAAGAATGGAATATGTGCTTTTGCCTATCAGCCATTGATATTTTACTGTATTTTGACACACATATAAACATTGAAGCACATCTAGCTAGTTGTTAACGAGCATCTAGCTTCAGAAATGCACATGAATTTGTACTTAAAAGAACCAAATGACAATATCGAAGGAACATTTCGCATGATCAATTCTATATTATATGGTAAAGTGGTTTGCTTCCTGAGCTTAGAATGGGTACATGTGCTACTGTGATATTTATCAAGCTGAGAATTGCTTGCCACATTTCTCATCAAGTGATGTCAAACAAACTAAGAACACAGTTTGTAAGTACTAGCATGTCCTAAAGAACTGTGCAACATTTTGAAATTTTTGAAAGAACCATGCCACATTGAAACTTCAGATTTAAAATAAGGTATTATGATTAGTCCGCGGGACCAAGAAAAATATTTAAGTAGAACTGTCACCAACCTTTAGTTAGGGCTTCTCAATTGCTTTACATGAAAAGAAATATAATGTGTCCTACAAATATCTATCACATAATGCTGCAGTTTCTTGCTTATTAGCCTTTGTAGTTGGGATGTCAGAAAGAGTGCGCTTTCGATATCTTGGGTCAATAATCCAGGAAAATGGAGAGATTGAGGAGGATGCCGTACATAGAATTAGAGTTGGGTGGACGAAGTCGAGATGTGCAACCGGAGTTTTATGTGATCTGTACATATCAATGAAGCTGAAGGGCAAGTTCTATAGGACAGTTGTGAGGCCAGCTTTGTTTTATGGGACATAAGGTTAGGCAGTCAAGAAGCAACATACCTATAGAATGAGTATAATTGAGATGAGGATGTTGAGATGGATGAGTGGCAAGACAAGAAAGGATAGAATTCGAAATGAATACATTTAGAAGAACTTAGGTGTGACATCAATACGCAATAAGATGAGAGAAAGTAGACTTAGGTGGATTGGCCATGTGCAACACAGACCAAAAATGTAGTTCAAGTGCAAGGTTAAAAAATGGCAAGGGGTAAGCCCAAAAGGACATGGCTGGAAGTATTGACAAAAGATATGGGTACTTATGGCTTCACTAAGGTATGGTCCTTGGTAGAGCAGAATGATGGACCAATTTGTGTAGACGACCCTAAATAGTTTGGGAAAAGGCTTTGATAACGATGATGATGATAAATAGAATATGTGCTTTTCAGTGGAATCAATATGGATGAACCAACAAATTTACATAGTTGTGAAAGATGATGTTATTTCATAAACATGATGTTATTTCATTGGTGCTTTAGGTGCTTTCTGTAGATGTCATTTGTGATGTCATCTTGGATTGTCTGTACACTATTCAGGGGAATTATTCAGCCAGAAAAGGATAAATGATTCAATATCATATTGGCGACTTGGTTATGTACACACAATGCGAATGTTGTCCTAAGCTCTTCTGGATGTCTGTAGATCTATGTGGGTGATTGTTTCTAGACCCTGTGGCTTTAATAGGGACTCCCCTAATGTTATTTGTAGTTGAGAGAGAAACTCCCTTTACCTAAGAGGAGTCCTTGGGTTTTTGGAATTAGATTTGTTCTCTTGTTATTTTTGATGTTTTAAGTTTAACAAGGGAGCTGAACTTGGTAGTGAATGATTTAGCTGTTACATATCTAACTTGGGAAGGATTATGTTATGGAACAATAGTCTTTTTCATAATTCATGATCAATAGAGCAATACAGTGAAAACAACAGTATTTGTTATTCTATGGGTGCTTTTTGCTTGATTATGAGCTCTAAAATTATTCATTTTTTGCAGAAAGAATAGAGGAGTATCATTTGCAAAATTAGAGTACTTTGGATGAAATGTTAGATGTTTATGAGTCCTTGAATTTGGTTGGTATTAGTCATAGATGTTGACAGATAAACAATGAGATGAAGCTATAGCCTCTATTATTTGTTCTCGCTACATATTTAAAAGCTGTTTGAAAATACACTTCTAAAACTAGGTAAACTGTAAAAGAAATAGAAGATGAATAATTAATTACTAAGATACCCCTGCAATATTTTATCCACATCAGAAGCCCCCCGTAGGTGGCCCATTGGTGATGGTAATGCCTAACTTGTCTAATATATCATATTTGTTACCTTTTTGATTTAGGGTGTGGTTTGTATAAAGCCGAGGCTCTAAACAATCAAAGTAGAGTGCACCTTCAAATAGTGTCGAGAAATGTGGTTTCAATACTGGAAATCTTTGTGATAGCCTTAAAATATATTTTCATCTCTAATTATAAAATTTAAAGCTTCAAAAATAGTTTAGATCGAGCAGATCTATGAAAACTTGAAAATCTTGAAAATTGACGGTCAAAAAATGCATTACAAGATGCACCATTTTCAAACTTGAAATCCGTTTTTTTTCTCGTATCCATTCATCTTAATGTCGAGATGATCGATTTGAGGATATTTGGGCATCAAAACAACCTCTTCTAGTGAAGTTTTTGAGGTGCGCTCTAATTTGATTGTTTAGAGCCTCGGCTCTATATAAACTTTTTCCTTTGAGTTACCTTCATTTGTTCTAATTACATAAATCAGAAATTAGAAAACATACCACGATGTTTCATTCTCCTGATTCAACTTTTTTCATAACTTCATAGCAGCATGTCGTTTCCATTTTCTATAGACATTCTATTATACTTTAATATTCATGCTTGGAGGGTTGGATGTTTCATAATTATATCTTGATCACATATTAGCGTGGGTCATCTAATGGACAACTACTGTTAAGTACTGTAAAATATATTTTTCAGCTTTGGTAAACACTCTAAACTGGAGCGGTAATCAAAGTAGCGAATGTCTTCCTTGTGCCGTTAGTTATCACCTAGCTTCTGAGCTCGTGGAAAATATTTATTAGTTACTTGAACCTTTTACTTAGTGTTTCTGTTCCTGAACTCATGTTCCCTTGCAATTGTTATGGAAAAATTGTCTCTTAGCCTGCTGTGACAAACATTTCTAGGCAATCACAGAGGCTAATAAATGAATAGTTGGCTTATCATTTTACATGTTTGAACTTGATCATGATTCGACTCTTTGGAACTTATTTGGATGTTGACAAGGTGTCATGATTTGGATTGAATTGTTGGTGATTCAAGTCAATTACTTTTGGTTTATATTTTGGTTCATGATGTTGCTGTGCAGTGCATAGTGTGGGTGAGCTGTAATGTACTTTTCCGGTCTTATTTCATTTTTATTTCTTCTTCTAGGAATTTACCTAGGCATCAGTTTGGCAACCTCCAAAGCAAAATGTTTCCGGCATATTTTTCTACAGTTGCTGTTTGTGGGGCAATATCAGTGGCTGCATTTGCTTATCTCCATCCTTGGAAGTCCGCCTCAGGGACTGAGAAGCTTCAGCTGGGTTTTCTCTCTTCTTCATTCTTGTTTAACCTGACAAACTTGTTTATATTCACACCCATGACCATTGAGGTATAAATCCCATATCTTGTGGCTATTTTCTATTTTGATAATTTCAGTTTATCTGCTACTTGAGGGGAGGCCTTTGTTCCTTCATTTATTTATTTTTTTGAACATTAACTGTTAGTAGTTTTCAAAAGGGTTTAGCGTTCGTAGGAATCGAAACCGAGACCGGTAGCTGAGTCATAGGGGGTGCTGCCACCTTGACTTCAACCACTTTTGTTGAGGGCCTTTGTTCTTGTAGGAGTTTATGAAGATTTTAATTGGAAATCCCCTTTCAGGTCCATATTCAGAACAATGGGACAAGTCCCCCTGTCCTACCCCCTTGAAAAGTATTCATGTTTCTGAACTTCTAGTTTATTTGCTCCTGTTGCTGCTGTTGTCGTTGATTCTTGTTTGCGTGCTATTGAATTTAAAATATTGTGCATGTTTTCTTGATCTTCTAGAAGTCTGAAAATTTGGACCTCGAAAATAACAATGTATACTAGAGAGTTATCCTTCTTTGATGTCTCTGGTGGTTGGAATTCAATGGGTGTCACTATTAATGATAAAAAATTTCAGGCTTGAGCCTAGCGAGACGTATTTTAAATGATACTGGGGTTAGTTTACATTTTGAATGGGTGACTCTCATGATTACAAAGGGAACAAGGGCAAATTGATTATTTGAACAGTGAAAATGATACCATTTTCAAAGACATTTTAGGGCCTTTGGTCATCTCCTGATGGCTAATACATATTTACATACTTTGTTGTAATCCCAATTTTGCTTGAGTAGTGTGGGAAACATGAGCTAATTATCACTGTACAGCTGCAGCCCTTCCGTATCAGGTTTCAGTTTTGACATGCTTGGCTTATCTGCATGCTGCGGCTGTGGACCTTGCTGTTCCCTTTATCTCATTTAACTAATGTGCTAACTATAAAATAGTGACATATTACGGCCGTGTTAATATTTTTGAAACTGTGGTTTGACTTTCTGGCACAGATGATGAAGCAAAGGCACAAGGTTGAGAGAGAAGAAGCAATTGGTGATGAAATTGGCTGGACAAAGAACCAGGAAGTTGCCAAAAAGAACCCTAAATTGGCAGCTATGAACAAGAAATTTGGTATGATTCATGGTCTATCTTCACTCGCAAATGTGTTGTCATTTGGCAGTCTTGCCATGCATTCTTGGTACTTGGCTGGTAAGATTCAGTTGTAATATTGACATGCTTCCTTGTTGCATTCTATTGTGACTTGTGAGCAATGATGTTAAGGGCCTTTGGTTCTATCTAAGGTGCATCATCTATTATGCTATGACTGGAAATCTCTCTCCGGACGATTTCAGATCTTAGCAAACTTACTATTATGCATGCAATCGTATTCTGTTCTCATGTACTGAAATAACAATATATTTCTAAGGACAAAGCAAGTGTATTCTTGTGGTATATGCTTTATTGATGGGTTATTACATGTTACCTACATGACATGGACATGCGTGTAGATGGTTTTTGCCTCACATTAACACACCAAGTACACGACACTTTTGTTTGATATTTAAATACTTCTTGTTAATCTTTGTCGTTTGGAATTTCACTATAAAAATGCGTAGGTCTTCTAATATCCTACCTTCCCCTTTGTCAAAAATGTGTATTGGCATGTCAAATACATGCCAACTTTGAGGTTCTTGTTTTTGACACATGCATAAGTGTCAGACACTGACACACATATCTGTGCCTATGTAACATAGTTACAAATGTCAGTACTGTTTCATTAGCTCATCATCTCTGACTGTGGACATTGAAGACATTCTCAAAGGAAAATAATGTAATATATCTACTTTTGCATTGAAACACAGGAATTATTAACTAACATTTCATGGGATTTGAGAAAGAAGAAAAAGCAACTTGCTTTACAATGAGCACTTAAATGGTATGGGTATAATATAGTTGACATACACCCAAAAAAATGAGAAACATATTACAATTGGCCTGTAATAGGCTAAATGGTACACTGTCGAGTCGTTGAAGGAATACAATCAGATTCTACTGAGTGCAGTAATCATTACATTTTTTCAGAAAAGACTCTTTTAGAAACAAAAGTGGACTCTGCGTTGCATGTTCTTAAGTTTTGAATACATGGACGATATTAGTTTGTGGCATATATCCAATATATACGGTAGCTCTAGCAAAGAAACACACATGGCGCATTTGACATGTTTCAGAGTGTGAGACAGACAAGGTATCAGACTTGTGTTGACCCTGAGAACACAGCAGGTGAGGGTGGGTTCAGTTTTGGGGTTGTTTTGCATTCTTTGCATGCCCCAACCCTCTGCTACAGCGTGTCCCTATAAGACACATGCTCTCATATGTAAGAAGTGGGCATTTTGGTTTTATGACACGTGTGTCTAAGTGTTCAGACACGTATAAAATTGTAAGACCCACACATCTTAGGACTAAGACAAGCTTCCCTCAGCAGTGGGATACACCTACCTTGATTTTTTAGATGTAATCTTTTAAGGGTGCAGTTCGCATACGGATGCATTTGTAGCTGTAGAGGTAAGGTTGAAACAATCTCCACCGTTCAAGCATTTCAATGGCTGAGATTGCGCTCTAAAACCAAGGGAAAACCGGCGCTCATAGGTGCCCCAGTTTCCTTCCATCTACCCGTTAATTAGAGAGAGAAAGAGGGTCAGCTGGGTTTCAATAGAGAGAGAAAAGGTCTAATATGCATTTTCTCTCGCTGCATCCATCTTTGTTTTAGATTAGGAAGTAACAGAGAAAAGGTGTAGAGAGAAAGTTCTAGAGAGAGAAAGTGTTTGGTGAGAGAGGGGGAAGTGAGGTGCCGAGTGCTCAATTTCTGCTGCGCTCTTCCACCATTAGCTCTAATCTTAACGTCGAGTCCCATGTCCATCAGAATCACGAATTCGAAGTGAGTGGCGGTCGCAAATTGTAAGACTCTTTCCCCAACTTGATGCACTGCAACCAGTGAAGAATCTCAGCATTCCGGTCCTCTTTGACTCTCAAATTGGACACAGTGATCTGCTTAACCCCTCTATACTCAGTGATCCTCCCTCTTAATAGTCATCAATTTCCCCAAAGACAACTTCTCCGCCTGTTCGACTGCCATTGTAAAAAGCAACTCATCATGTGGAGATGGATTAGGGCTGAGATAGAGGTGGTTCAGCCAGAGAATGCAGGGCAGCAGGGCGCTGCCATCCTTAAGATGGAAGTGGAGGAACTTGTTCTTTCTCTCTCTACCCACCACCACGCCGATGGCTTCAACGAGGGAAACGCATCTGCCATTGCTCAGGGTGAAGCGGTAGTTGGGGTTTTAGAGAGAGAAACGATGAAAGAGTTCCAGGAGTTCAACATGGACGTGTATTGGCGTATGACGTTCGAATGCGAAATCTGAACCATCCAAAATATTGGACGGTTTATAAGGCTGCATCCGTAGCTATTGACGTAAGGATGCAACCGTATATAAACTTTTCCCATCTTTTAAACAGTAGTAGTTTATGCCATGTTTTGCTGCTACTCATATTTTTACTACTTATTTGATAGTTACTATTGGTAATGTGCAAGTGATAATATAATTTCTGACAATATGTAGAAGAAAGAAAATCTGCAAAGGAGTGTCTACCATAAGAAACACCTGTCACTGTTTAAGACATACATGTCAACACGTGTCCCACTATTAGACATGTGTCTAGGCATTTGTTTTTTTGGACGCGGTTAGCATGCGGCCAGCCTGCATATTGTAGAAATGCGGGCTATAGGCTTTCTCCAATCCATGACGGAATTTCTCCCGAGAAACAATTAATGCTGAGATCGAGAATTTCCAATGAAGACATTTTCCAAGGCTTGAGGGAGTTTTCCTGATAATCGATTGTTTCCCAAGTTTAACTATGTAAGGTCGCCTAGGTTGCTCAATGAAGATGGCAAGCTTCCAGCGAGATCATTATTCCTCAAATTCAAGAATTCCATAGATAAACAATTCCCAAGGCTCCAAGGTATGTTTCCTGTGATAGCATTTCCAGAGAGATCCAGATGGAATAAGCAACGCATGTTACCCATGGAAGACGGGATGTTTCCTGTAATATTATTATTGGATGCACAAAAGTAGGTTAAATTAGGCATGATTAATCCAATGTCTGCAGGAATATGACCAGAAAACTGGTTGTTCGATAGCTCTAAAGCCAATACGTCTGGCACAAGTTTAGGTATGTGACCATGAAACATATAGTTGCCGCATGACCGACTCTCCATAAATTTGGAATCTGATTCAATTATCTGAAAGGTACAGTTTCTCGACATGAGAGGTGATATTCCAAAACCAGCCGGGCAGTGTACCTGTAATATTTCCATTAGACAAGTCCAAATATTGCAGTCCCTTTTGAGTTCGGATCCAAGGAGGGAATTGACGCCCTGAAGGTGATGAACCTAAATCCAGATGATAGAGCTGAAATGGCGAGACAAATCCAATGTTTCCAAGCTTTTAAGCCTCACAAAAGTAGCTTCGGTGACCATCCCAATGAGTTTGTTGCCGGAGATCTTTAGTTCACGCAGGATTGAAAAGTTTCCAATGGTTTCTGGGAGTGTCCCATTCAGTTGGTTGGCGATAAGGTTTAACTCATTCAGGTGCTTGAATTGTCCCAGACAAGCAGGGATTGGTCCATTCAAGTTATTAAAACGGATGTCTAACTCTCTTAGATTCTCCAGGTTTGCGAGCCAATTAGGGATTGGTCTGCTCAAGTTACTAAAACGGAGGTGTAACTCTGTTAGATTCCCCAAGTTTGCAAGCCAATTTGGAACCTACTGCAAATGATTGGCGCTCATGTCAAGGCGTCCAAGGTTACCAATATGAGCAACCCATGGAGGAGTTCTTGTGAACTCATTCTCTCCGAGGCTAATGACACGAAGTGAAGTAGAGTTTACTAAATGGGGGTTGGGATGGAGTCTAGGAGATTGCAGCCATGTGCTTGTACTTCTGTGAGAAGAGCAAGTCCAAGGACCAACCTCCCGAGATCTTGGCTTCCCTCTGAAAGGTCCACATTATTGAGTGTAAGGAATTGTAGGAAAGAGAGATTAGCAAGCCATTCAAGGTTGTCCACATTCAATGGGGGATTACTAATACCAGAAAGATCAAGATGTTGGAGTTTTGTAAGATTCCCCAGCTGAGGAGGAATTTTGCCTCGGACAGGTCTAGGGTTTTGAGTTCAGTCGAAGAACCCAAGAATTCTGGGATAGGATTATAAAAGAAGGTATTAGTACTTAAGTTGAGGAAAGACAAATGTTCCAACTCTACCAAGGCTGGGTCTATATGCCCACTGAAGTAGTGGTAATCATCCACAGAGCCGTGGCCATGGAGGTCGAGCTTGGTTACATGGGTATGGCCGGATATGTTGGCACACTCCACTTCTTTCCATTCGCAACATTTTCCACCTTTCCAGGATGACAAGCCAGTCCATGGATCAAAAAACCCTTCTCTTAGCTTGAGAAGAGCTTGCCTTTGATTCTATGCGATCTGCACTCAAATTCCCAATGCACATGTATTCCCAATGCACAAAGAGGAAAATAAAGCAAATCCACATCTTTCCATGACCCTCTTAGAGATGTAAACTACAAGGCGCAGTTGGAGACGTGAGGAGAGAGATGTAAACCTGGCAGACAGATAATTGACGAGCAAATTGGGGAGAGAGATGTGAGGCGAAAGGGGCTTTCTTGAGCATGTAAGAAAGCATGCATTTCATACAATTCCTTTTTTTTTGATAGGCCTGCAACCCTATCAACATAAGTCGAGCCTCACTTTATAACTCAACAAAAATTGCAATTTAGGGATTAGAAAACTTTTATCTCGATCGATCATGGCTTGACCATTATGGTTGTGGAAAAAAAAGGATTTTAAACACTAAAAATGTGGTTATTCTAACATATTATTTAAACCGTCTATTTTGCCTTAAAAATAAATGTTTCTAGATCCGCAAGATTTGTATAATTTTTTTTGAGTTTCAAATTTCATTGTTGGGGTTAGAAATTGATTTTAAAGCCTGGATATTTTCGTTGAAAAAAATGCAGTTTGGACGAGGATTTGATATAAGGCTTTATTTTG